ACCAATCAATAGTGTCTATTTGCTGTTATTTTGAATTCTTCAGTGATGTAATAATGCCTTTAAAAGGGTCTGCGCACCCATTTTCTGTCAGAAGCCATTAAACTTCTCCGAAGTTCTTTCATTAACCTGAACTTTGTGTCTCAGTGTGAATTTACTTCTGCGTGCACGCAACTTTATTATCTTTAATTTGGACAGGAACAGATAGTCATTCAAACTAATTGGTTTGCAGTAAATTATCTACAACAGTGGCACTGGGCACAGTATCCGCTGTTAGCCTGACACACCCGCTTTAAGGACACTGACTGCTATTCAATCTATAACAGTGAAAAAAAGTTTTTTGCTTTTAAATGCAAGCTATTGTGACACCAGTGAGTGAGTGGTGGCACTGGGCACAGTATCCACTGTGAGCATGACACACCCGCTTTAAGGACACTGACTGCTATTCAATCTATAACAGTGAAAAAAGTTTTTTGTTTTTAAATGCAAGCTATTGTGACACCAGTGAGTGAGTGGTGGCACTGGGCACAGTATCAACTGTGAGCCTGACACACCCGCTTTAAGGACACTGACTGCTATTCAATCTATAACAATGAAAAAAGTTTTTTGTTTTTAAATGCAAGCTATTGTGACACCAGATATGAGTGGTGGCATTGACTGGGCAAATGGGCACAGTATCCACTGTGAGCCTGACACAGAAGCTGGCAGCAGTGGCAGACTAACTGCAATTACATTACACAGAAAAAAAGCAGACTGATGTTCTAGCCCTAAAAAGGGCTTTTTGGGGTGCTGTCCTTACAGCAGAGATCAGATGAGTCCTTCAGGACTGTAGTGGACACTGTATACCCTAACCTAGCTATGCATTTCCCTATCTAATCAGCAGCAGCTACACTTTCCCTCCTCTCACTAAGCATGCAGTTTGAGAATGAATCTAAAATGGATGCTGTCCAGTAGGTGGGAGGATCTGCTAGGGAGGGTGTGCTGCTAATTGGCTGGAATGTGTCTGCTGACTGTGAGGTACAGGGTCAAAGTTTACTCAGTGATGAGGGGGGATCGAACCGCGCATGTGTTTGCCGTCCGCGGCGGACGCGAACACGCTATGTTCGCCGGAACTGTTCGCCGGCGAACCGTTCGGTGCATCACTACACACAAGCTGTTGTAGCCACAATAGGAGGCTTAATAGACATAGTTGTAGAATTACGGCAGCATAATTTGGAAACAACAAATAAAATGGAGGAAGCAATGGACAAAAGGGATTGTTTAAAAATTGTAGCTTTGAGAACAACTACAATTGTTGGGGAACTAGAAAAGGAGTTAAGAGAAAAAGAACAACAGAGAGATGCATATAGTGCTAAGGTCACTGAACTCCAGGACCTAGTCATGGAATATAAAATGAAAACTAAAGAAAATACAAATAAATGGGATAAGGAGATTCCTAAAGTATGCCTGTAACAGACAGTTTTGCACAAAAGGGGTAAAAACCGTTTAGGCGATCGGCCCCCTTTCCAGAGATGCAGGCACAGCTACTGCAGAACACCAAACACCAATAAGTGAATGCTCCAAACTCCTGAACGGCATCCAATATAGCACTCCAAATACACGAACAGGAACCATACGAATTGCTGCTACCAGACGAATAGGAAAAGCATCCAAGCGGCTTACACTCCTAGCAATCAGTCTCTATCAGCATTCAGTAAATCCCCCCAAAGACGAGACAAGGCTCCGTGTTGTGGGTCAAGCAGTGGTCTGTTTAATGAGGGCTACCTGCCCAGTATTTATGCAGGTCTCCCACCTGGTGGACACTCTCCCTTCCAGAGTTCAGCGCAAAACTGTGTCGATTTTGGATTTCCATGAATTACGTGTCGAACACCGCTGTGCATTCGTATGTTTAAATTGGCCGCGACCTCGTGTTCGGGATACGAATGGCGGCCACCCAGCATTCGTCAATTAAGCTGCGGTTAACCGCAGCTTCAGGGAGGTTAATTGCCGGCACACTCCAGCTGCCAGGTGGTCTATTCATTCGTGCGGTTGTTCGGTAGATTGAATCTACCGAACAACCGGCAGAAAAGCACGAATAAAGCTTTTCTGCAGGCGAAACAAAGTCTTTTAACATGGGGCCATAGTCCAAAGGCAGTAGGCGAGCAACCAGGCTTCTCCAATACAATGTGGCGAGATTGGTCTCGTCACAATGCCCACGCCAGTCTTATTTTATATCTAAAAGTAAAGAACCAGTGCTGGGAACAAAACACAAGAGAACTATGCCAATTGTTAACTGTGTCCCACAAGCCCCTTTAATAATAACTGAACACTTTAATGCAAGAGAAATGCCTACTAGCTTCTCTAGGCAGACAAGGACTATGTCAATCACAGACAAAGATAATTTCCAGAAATGGTGGGGAAGTATGCCAAATAACGACTTTAATACTTTTACACATTGGTTTATGAGGGGAGCAAATAGAGCTAAATAAGGAGGTCTTAACTTAGAAGAATGGACAGAACTTTTAGAATATGCTATGGGGCCTTTGGCTAGTAGACTATTCGGATTTAATAACAATGTGTCTGATCAGGCAGGAAGAATTGCTGCAACTAATTTATATCTACTTAGCATAGAGAAAGAAATATTACGATGAGGCCAGCAGATGGTCCTAGAGAGGTAGCTCAAAGGATATTGTTCTGGTATACACTACGCCAACCTCAACAGCCCCTGGTGTTGGGCTCATCAGAACACATTGCTAAAATAATGGAAGCCCTTCCCTGGGAGTGTCAGGAATTTGTCAGGCTTTTTGATCCAACACCAACAGACTTATAAATGGTACTAACTAGAGCTGACAATTGGTGGATCAAGCATCCTTTCACAGACGAGGCCTGCTCTGTTTCAGCCGCGAGAAGATTCGAGATCGAGTCTGGTAGAGATATAGATGGTAAATGGAGAAACCAGAGGTGGGATGTACCAGAACAAGAGGGATAATGAGAACTGGAGACCAAAACAGGACTTTGACGAAAGATGGAGAGATCCACAGAGGGACTATAGGAATAGGGACAGTGCTAAAGGAAGCAATGAGAAATAGATTTGAGGAGCCTCAGGCAATCAACAATAAATGTAATAATAATACATGGGAGAGGCTAAAAAGAAGAGAAAATAACTGGGAAATTCATAGTTGGGGAGAAAAACAGAGAAACAACAGGAACAGTTATTGGGAGAATAATTGGAGAAGGAATCATAGGTGGGATGAGCATCACACCAATAGACGGAATTGGGATAATTGGAGGAATAAAGAAGGGAATAGAGACTACTGGGACCTAAAGGGACAGACAGAGAGATTGGAGGCAGACATGAAAGCGCTTAGGGAACAGATGAGAGATGAGGAGAAGATTGATCAATTTTGGGGTCCCAGCAATTAATAACTCCCATAATTTTTTTTGTTGCTCTCTACATCTGAATGTATGTTTGTTTTTCTTTGTTTTGTTGTTTCTCTCAGTCTTCCAGTCTCCCATATAGCTATACATTTCTAATGATGAGATCTAGTGTTCCCACAGAGCAAGGCAAAGCTGTATTAGGATGATGCAGGGCCGTCTTTAATATTGATTGGACCCTGGGCAAGAATTTACTTGGGCCCCCTGGATCCCGCCTTCCCACATCCTAGCATGCAATCACGCCCTCCACCACAACACACATACCAAAAAAAATAAAACACACAACTCGTAGAGTAGTAAACTTTAATAATGTAAACATAAAAAACTGGTTCACAAATAAGTCCTTAGCTTGACCTACTTGCCACCTGTAGCTTCTTTTAACCTCGGTCTTATGGTATATTTTTATTAACAGTTATACGTTGTTGGAAGAACAAGCATAATAACAATATCTTTCAGTAGCAGTGCAAATCAACATTATTATGTTTAAATTATAAAATAAATAACCATGTTGGCTAGTAATATCATAAAAAAAATAATAAATAAAATACAACAATTAACAATGCAATTAAATAAACAATATTAAACCTTATTGTATAATCCAAGTGCACATTTCCCATTCCAATATGGAGAAAGGGAATCAAGTACCAGTGTTAAATGGTCAACCTTATTATAATTCCTGTTAGGCACCAACTGCTTCAGTAGCAGACTATTATAAAAGAATACATAGTTTAACAACCATTAACGTAAAGAGCAGAGAACCATTAATGTAAAGTGCAGAGAACTTTTACATAAAATAGTAAATAAATATTTTAGTGCAATTTAAACAATGAGTCTACGTGCTTTCTGAGCAGCAAAGGTCTTTGTAATGTTGGAAAAAATCAAGACCGCAAAGTATATCAGATTCAGCAGACATTATAGATAGTTTGGTGAGACGGCTCTGGCTCATGGTTGTGCGTTGTAAGTTTTTTATTAATTTCATTTTTGAAAAAGATTGTTCACCTGAACTGTTAGAGATCATTAAAGTAAGGTAGATTTTTAAAGCAATTTCCGTGTTCGGAAAAGTATCTCTTACATCCTTGTCATTAATTGTACTGTACATGAATTGCTCTATGCTGCAATCGTCTGGTTTTTCATCCAGGAAAAGAGAAATGAATGACTGAAATTGAATTAGTTCATCACCAAATGTTGTGCCCAGATCATGCTTGTAGAAAGCAGACAACTTTTCTGCTGCAATGTTAATGGATTCAGAGTCCATCGCTGGAAAGTTTATAAAGAAACCAAATAAATCACACACTTCACTGTAGGCTCCTAGGCGATGTTCCAGACACATTAAAAGTTTGTCAACACATGGGAGAAAGGCCTTAGCATAAAAGGCCTCCTTTGGCGTTAATTGAGCTTCTTCACTGTGTCCATAGTCAAGTGGCTGCTGACGGACATTCCGACGTTGAAGACGGTGGTGTTCCACAATATACTCCTCAGTATCTGTTAGACACTTGCCAACTTCTTCAAATGCATCAAATTTAGTACGCTGTTCATTAATAAAATCTTTTAACGATTTCAAAACACCAACAGCAGCATTTAGGTTCAGCTGAACAGACTGCAGAGTTTTGCTGCTGTTGCTGTTGAAACGCTGCAAAACAGTGTTCCAGAATTCGGCAAAAATCCCTGTCTCAAGTTTGCTTATCTGATAAAATAGTCCCTTTGGGGTATTACGGCACTCGGATTTTTCTTCAATGTCAGTTGCAAATTCAAACAAAATGTCCATTATATTGTCAAGCATCTGCACGACATGACCAGCGTGTGTCACTTAGCTTTTTTGGCATGGACACAGAGAGGCCTTTCTCATCAAGCTGGTCTTTAAGCTTCTTGTAGCGCCGAGTTGAACCACTAAAGAATGTATAAAGAGCTTGAACAAAATTAAAAAAATCTTACAGCCTCACTACACGAATTTGCAGCATCCTTTCCGACAAGATTTAATGAGTGTCCAAAACAAGGTATGTACTTAGCATATTTATTCATGTTAAGAATTCTTGCTTGCATACCCTTGTAGTGGCCAGACATGTTGCTTGCATTGTCGTAACTTTGTCCCGGGCATTCTTGTATGGTAAGTCCAACGCTATTAAGAAATGCTAGGAGCGCATCTGCTATTTCTTCTCCTTTATGCCCTGTTGAGGGTAAAAAAGTAATAAAACGCTCCACAGGTCGATTTTCTTCTAAGTATCAAATAATCACGGTGAGTTGGTCAGTATGAGAAGAATCCTCCGCTGAATCCACAGAAACAGAGTAGTATTTTGCCATTTTAATATGGTTGATGACAACTTCTAAGATCTTATCCCCAGTAATTTGTATGAGTTCCTCACAGACATTTGCTGATAAATAACTTGTACATCCTTTGCCTTTGTTTGCCTTTGTTTGGATGTGTTGTGCTAGGAAAGCATCATACTCTGACAGTAATTCCAAAATACCGAGATAGTTGTCATTATGTGGGGATCCAATAGTCTGATCATCACCTCTAAAAGCCAATCCTCTCTCAGCAAGAAAAACGATGACACTAAGCAAACGTTTTACTAGGTTTTGCCCATAGGTGGTCAGCTCTTCAATTTGCTGTTGCATTTTATAGTCAATCCGATCTTCCAGTTTTGAAAATTTGGCTGTATCAATCACAGCGCGTATATGATGATGAGACTGTTCATGGGATGAAATTCGTTCACTGGCATGTTTCCAGTTGCTGAAACCATCACTGGAAAATGCATTTGTTGATGAACTAAATAATTTGCAGTCAAAACAGTATATTCGGCCTCTGTTATTTGAGTAACAAAGCCACTTCCTTTCAACTTTGTCCCCATTGGGACAGTTACGAAGAAACATATCTGCTGTACAGCAACGTCCATCTTTAAATGATTTTGGAAATCCTTCATTGCGCAGTTTTTCCAGAGGTTTCTTTACTGACGAATTTCCATTTTTGGGCCAATACTCCCGCATCTCAAGAGTAGATGAGTTGGGCCACAAACCAATGTCAGTTAGGAAACCTGACTTTTCCATGGATTTTGGCGGTATATCAACTGCTTCAGCAGATGCGTCTTGTATTTCAACAGTATGGAAGCTAGGTTTCTCAACTTCCATGGGAACTGGAGTGGTTTCTAGTGACATGGGCTGATCAGAGGAATCCACTGTGTTGAGTTCCGAGCCATATTCTGATTCACTTTGTGGAGGAATCTCTTCCTGAGAACATGTACTAGCATGTTCTTTAGAAGATCCACACGCAGAAGGCTGTGCAGAAGATCGACTTGTAGGTAAAAGAAAACCAGTTATTTTTGGAATTCTACATATTTTTTCCTTCAACTCCTGCTTCTTCTTCCACTTCTGAGCACCACTCAGAGGTTTGGACATGTTGAGGGCAGTCAGGCTCCTGAATAAATAAACGTGATTGACACTTCCATAAACAAAAGTCAATAGAGTGAAAATGCATATATTTTAATAGGATTTTTGCATATTTAAAATGTTGATGTTACAGCCAAGCATGCTGTTTAACTTACTACAGATGCAAAGTTCCCACAGAAGGCTTCTAACGAGAGCATGCGCCATACCAATCCCCTTCCTCCTCTCGCTGTTCTTCCATGCTTTGTCTGCTCTTCCCTTCTGTAGCTGTGCTCATGACTGTTGCATGGATCTTCTCTCTGACGGGTTAAGACTCCAGTGCATGCATGTATACACGCAAGAGTAAATGTGCACGCCAGTAAGGCTTCCTCTTCTTTCATCAAACGATTTTGTCCAACATTAAAGGACCACTATAGGCACCCAAACCACTTCAGCGCAATGAAGTGGTCTGGGTGCCAGGTCCATCTAAGGTTAACCCTGCAACTGTACACATAGCAGTTTCAAATAAACTAGTATGTTTACAATACGGTTAATCCAGCCTCTAGTGGCTGTCTCATTGTCAGCCGCTAGAGGCGCTCCCACGCTTGATTTTCACAGTGAGAAGACGCTAAAGTCCATAGGAAAGCATTGAGAAATGCTTTCCTATGGACTGATTGAACGTGCGCGCTGCTCTTGCAGCGTGCGCGTGGCTCATTCAGCGCTGACATCGGAAGAGGGAGGAGAGTTCCCCAGCACCGAGGGAGCCCAGCGCTGGAGAAATGTAAGAGTTTAACCGCTTCCTCCGCTTCAGCCTGGCGAGAGTGGGACCCTGAGGGTGGGGGGGACCTAAAGACGCTATAGTGCTAGGAAAATGAGTTTGTTTTCCTAGCACTATAGTGGTCCTTTAATACAACTTACAGTAATGTGAAGTGTATTGCACAGCTCCACAGCAATACAACTCACAGTAATGTGCGATGTGCAAGTATATCACAGATCACCTCAGAATAAAATGCATAGAAAAGTGGAGTGTGTGAGTATCACAAGCTCTACAGCAATATAACTCACAGGAACGTACAATTTGTGAGTGTATTACAGATCACCTCTTTAATATAATGCACATGAATGTCACATGTCACATATATGCACATGTATATCATACCCAACACACTGCTTTCCCATAGAGAAGCATTGGGAGGCTATTGCGCATGCGTGGCCTCATAGAGATGCTTTGAATCAATGCATTTCTATGAGGAGTGTTTAGCGCGAATGCGTTGTGCAACACTGGATTAGGAAGCACCTCTAGTGGCCGTCTGATGAGTGGCCACTAGAGGTATTCCTCAGCAGTAATGTAAATACTGCCTTTTTTTCTGAAAAGGCAGTGTTTACATTAAAAAGCCTGCAGAGACATGTTATAGACACCAGAACTACTACGTTTAGCTGTTGTGGTTCTGGTGACTATAGTGTCCCTTGAAAATAGAGGGAAAAAAAAGGATCAGCACAAAAGTATTAAATAAAATGGCTGTATCATTATTATAAAAATTAAAAAAGCACAACTTCTGACACAAATATATAGTATTTAACAGATTACTTTATTTTTAACAATGTGATAGTACTGTACTACTAACCCCTCCATCCACCCTTCCCCCTCCCCTCTAACCACCCCTCACCTCCCCTCTAACCACCCTTACTCCCATAAAACAATATATATTACTGTAACTAACTACTGTAAATACTTACAGTTCTGAAGACTCCAGCAGGCTCAGGATCAGTTGGGCAGCTGGGCTCAAGGCTGGAGTGGGTGCCGACCTGCAGTTCCGGATGGCGCCGCTCTGCCGTTCAGGATGGTGCCGCGCTGCAGTTCGGGAAGGAGGCGGAGTCACGGCAATGCTCACAGTGCGCGGCGCGGCATACGCAAATGGCAGGGGAGGTCGGGAGGCGGAGCAACAAGTAAGTCCTTCACTATGCAGCAATGCCGCTCGCATAGTGAAGGTGAAGGATTAGATCGGGACACAAATTTGTGGGCAGAGGCTCAAGAGGCAGCTGCCTTGGGCCCCCCAGGAGCAACTGGGCCCGGGGCAGCTGCCCCTTTTGCCCCACGTTAAAGACGGGCCTGGGATGATGATGTGTATCAACAGAAGATCGTGGTGAATCTTTGTTACAGGATGGATAAGTATAAGCTGTATCACAGTAGGGATGGGGAGACAGGCAATATGGCCAGAAGATACTCCAAATAAGGGAGAAGATTAGAGTCTACATTTTAATAATCCTTCTATTCCTCCAAGGTGTCCGGAACAACAGCTGCAGCCGTTCAGGCAAAGCAGGGAGTCAAGAAAAACGGGACATATTTGCAACTCTACTGGGAGTAGACGGAACTGGATTGAGAGTAGAGACACATCCAGTCCTACAAACTACAAAGTAGAGACAAATCCAGTCCTAGTACTCATGCTCATAATTACACTATACTTGTGTGTGCCAATGAATAGATGAGGAAGAAACTTGAAAAGGGGAATATATTTGAATTTTTTTTTCTCTTCTCTTCTCTTCTCTTCTCTCTCTCTCTCATACATTCTTCAATAAAGTTTTACATTGCACATACATAAACATTTAACACACACGCACTCACATAAATTCTATAAATTCTGGGTTTTTTTGTGACAAATTTGTATAATATGTGAATTGACAGCCATAGGAAAGTACAGGAGAACTTATGTCGCTGAGGGAACTATTCCGGAGGGACGGTGGGTTGAATTTCTCCTGTATATCAGGTTTTTGCTCCCACTAGGTTCTCTTGTACTAGAGGGATAACTAGATAATGGAGCAACATAGAAGAAGAAAAAGTGGGGGAATGTGGGGTGATGCAACCCCTATTTGACTTTTCTTTCACCTTGCTTATCTCACTCACTATAATTCCTGTGCTCCCCTTTCCTACTTCAGATCTCATAGTTTAGATAGATAAGATGGATATATTATTATTTTTAAATGTGCTCAACATAAGAGAAGAAAAAGTGAGGGAATGTGGTGACATTCTGTCATCAAGTTAATATGGTGACCAGTGGTCATGTGACCAAGCTCATGTATGCCTTTCTTACAGGGGGATAAGCTTTACCCTTTGATATGGTAATTGGGTAATTCAATACCTTTACAAGTCAGGAGAGAGATAGCCATTTCCCCTATCTCCATTTCTCTGTTCCTTCTTGGCTGTGCTGCAGAGCAGATGTGGGCAGATGCCATGTGCTAGCATGATGAACTCTGTTGCTTCCTTATCTTCCTTGGTCGATGTGATGTTGAACTTGCAGCAGTGAGCCATTACTAGATGTGAATGCCTAACCGTGGGTGAGATCAAACGTGTGGGGAAGGGGATTACTATACAGATAGATAGATTTAAAAAGAGTTGTTGCTCTGTGGGTCTGGGTTGTGTGTTTGTGATAAATTTATAGTATTGTGTTGTTGCCTTTTAATAAATACCTTTTAATGTAGATGAACCTTGTGTAATATATATATATATATATATATATATATATATATATATTAATGTGGTTATTTACCACAAATATAACACAATTTCATAATATTTACATCTGAATTATTTACAACTATAAACATCATAACAATGAAGCTGAAAGTTCATATACATTCAGGCGGATCCACCACTAATTGATATTCTGTTTAAACTGAAAAAAAATTGTAGAAAAAGAGCCAAAAAAGACAAAAAACTGAAAAAATTTGAAAAAAAGAGAAAAAAATGAAAAAAGAAAAATTAGAAAAAAATAACAAATATGAAAACATCTGATAAGTTCAAAAGACTGCAAGAAATGCACTGCTTGTATGATGAAAATGGTTGGATCTCACCACAGGTTATGGATGCTTTAAATATGGGCTGTGGAGTGAAGTCTGTTCACTTATAGGCAGATGTCCTATTGAGTGCTGAAGAGAGAGATTCCAAAGTGTCCCTTTGTACGATGAACAGTAATCAGAGGCAATCACCGGTCTCCAATTGCGGTCTCCTGTTTCACGTGTCTCGTGTGTGGCTGCGCTGTGCGCTCGGGAGGGAAATGCCCCTTTGGAGGCCCTAAATTCAGGAGAGAGGTTATTGGACATTTATAGTATGTTTTGGTGGCAGCCAGTGCACCTCATGGCATGGCACGCCCATCAGCGTACTTCCGTGATAGTTACATAGTTACATAGTTACATAGTTACATAACTTGCGTCCATCAAGTTCAGCCTTCCTCACATATGTTTTTGCTGTTGATCCAAAAGAAGGCAAAAAAACCTAGTCTGAAGCGATTCCAATTTTGCCACAAACTAGGAAATAAATCCTTCTTGACTCCAAAATAGCAGTCAGATGTCTCCTTGGATCAAGCAGCTATTACCCCACTAATTAGAAATTGTATCCCTGTATGTTATGTTTTTGTAAGTATTTATCCAATTGCAGTTTAAACATCTGTAATGACTCTGACAAAACCACCTCTTCAGGCAGAGAATTCCATATCTTTATTGTTCTTACTGTAAAAATACCCTTTCTTTGCCTTAGATGAAATCTCCTTTCTTCCAGCCTAAATGTGTGACCTCATATCCTATGTATAGCCCTGTTTATGAATAGATTTCCAGATAAAGGTTTGTACTGGCCCCGAATATATTTGTATAAAGTTATCATATCCCCTCTCAGGCGCCGTTTTTCCAAACTAAACAGATTTAATTCTTTTAACCTTTCATCATAACTAAAATGCTCCATTCCTTTGATCAATTTTGTAGCTCGTCTCTGGACCTTTTCTAGTTCCTTGATATCTTTCTTTAGAACAGGCGCCCAAAATTGCACAGCATATTCAAGGTGTGGTCTTACCAGCGATTTATAAAGGGGCAAAATTATATTTTCATCCTGAGAATTTATGCCCCTATTTATACATGACAAAATCTTACTGGCCTTAGCAACTGCAGATTGACATTGCATATTGCTGCCTAATTTGTTGTCTATAACAATTCCCAAATCCTTCTCGTGTGTGGTTATCCCTAATTCACTACCATTTAGTGTGTAAGTTGCTTGTGCATTTTTAACCCCAAAGTGCATAACTTCACATTTCTCTACGTTAAATTTAATCTGCCATTTAAGTGCCCAGTCCCCCAATCTATCCAAATCCCTCTGCAGCAAAGCAATATCCTGCTCACATTTTATTACTTTACAAAGTTTTGTGTCATCTGCAAACACTGATACATGGTTTTCAATGCCTATTTCAAGATCATTTATAAATATGTTAAATAGAAGTGGTCCCAAAACAGAACCCTGAGGGACACCACTTACCACTTTTGTTCAGCCTGAAAATTTACCATTAATTACAACTCGTTGTACTCTATCCTTAAGCCAATGTTCTAACCAAGAACAAGAATATTCATCTAGACCAATTTCTTTTAGTTTGAAGACTAACCTATTGTGATGAACCGTATAAAATGCCTTGGCAAAATCCAAGTAGATCACATCCACTGCAACACCCTGATCTATACTTCTACTTACTTCTTCGTAGAATGCAATTAGGTTAGTTTGACATGACCTATGTTTTATAAAACCATGCTGATTATTGCTAATAACAAAGTTCTTCCTAATGAATTCCTGAATATTATCCCTTAATAGCCCTTCAAATATTTTCCCAGTTACAGAAGTTAAGCTCACAGGTCTATAATTTCCAGGCAAGGATTTTGAACCCTTTTTTAAATATAGGAACAACATCTGCCTTCCTCCAATCCTCCGGTACAACACCTGAAACAAAAGAATCTTGAAAAATTAAATACAGAGGTTCACTTATTTCCCCACTTAGCTCCTTAAGTACTCGTTGGTGAATACCGTCAGGCCCCAGATCTTTATTTACATGAATTTTCTTTAATAGCTGTAGCACCTTGTCTCGAGTTATCCAGTCACAAGTTATTTGCAAGTTTTTTGCAGCAATCATTTGCATGTCTCTTGCCATAGGATCCTCATTAATATATACTGACGAAAAATAATTAAAATTTCTGCTTTTTCCTGGTCTTCATTAGCTAATAAACCCAACTCTGTTTCCAATGTACCTACACTTTAATTTTTTGTTTTTTTAGAATATGATGCCTCTGATTTGTCTGATTTAAATGCTTTAAATGTCCTTTTCTTATTTTTAATCTCTTGTTTTACTTCTCTACTAAGCCACATTGGATTTGTTTCTTTTATATTTATTTCCCAATGGTACCCACTGAGAAATGTACATTTCTAATATTTGTTTGAATAGTTTCCATTTATCCTCAGTGTTTTTATCACTAAGGAATTTATGCCAGTCGATATGTTGTAGAGCTGCCTTAATCTGATTGAAATTGGCTTTTTTAAAATTATATGTTTTAGTATATCCCACTTGCTTTTGCTTTTTTGAGTTTATTTCAAAATTTACCATATTGTGATCACTATTTCACAAATGCTCCCCTACTTGAATGTTGGTTAAAAGATCAACATTGTTTGTTATAACGAGATCCAGACAAGCATCCTTTCTAGTTGGTACTTGTACCAGTTGTGACATAAAGGTGTCATTTAACACATTTAAAAACCTGATTCCCCTTGCTGAAGTACTAGTCCCTCTATCCCAATTTATGTCTGGGTAATTAAAATCTCCAATAATTAACGTGTTACCTCGATTTGCAGCTTTCTCAATTTGCTCTAACATCTGTTCTTCCTCAATAATATTTACATTAGGTGGTTTATAACATATGCCAACCAATAATTGATTTCCCTTTGTTTGCCCCAAGCAGATATCTACCCATAAAGCCTCCACATTTTCCTTGTCATACTCCACATGTCTAAGATTTGACTTTAACTCATGGTTGACATATAAACATACCCCACCACCCTTCTTGTTTTTCCTACCCTTCCTAAATAACATGTACCCATTTAAATTAACTGCCCAGTCATGTGTCTCATCCCACCATGTTTCTGTTATGCCTATTAAATCATATTGTTTAGTGTATGCTATTGCCTCTAGTTCCCCCATTTTGTTATAAAGGCTCCTTGCATTCGTAAGCATATCAAAGTCTTTTGTACTTTTTGTGAATTATCAATATTACATACCTCCTCTGTTCTGAGCTTTCCCCTCCCCCCATCTCCACCCCCTTTGTTCTGAGCTAAAGCCCATCTCCTTTGCATTCTATTTCTATTTTCTAGATTGCTTTGACCCTCCCCCACACCACTAGTTTAAAATCTCCTCCAACCTTCTAGCCATCCTATCCCCCAGCACAGCAGACCCTCTTCCGTTTAGGTGCAATCCATCATGATTATACAGGCCGTTCGGGAGCTCCGGTCTTTCGTTATTGTGGTTCCCCATCGGTGTTCGGTACGTTTAGGCGAACTCGATGGCAAAGTGTATTTCGTGCGGCGTTCAGTTGTTTTAGCTGGGATCTGAGCGGTATTCCCACGAAATGTGCGCTCAGACCCCAACTATCTACCGAACGTCCATTCATGTGACTAAACCGAATAGTGTAAAAGTATTTAAATGTGAAATGCCGGTTCTGCTGCACTAAGGGTGTATTCCAGTGGGAGTATCCCTCTCGTCCAGCAGTGCCTGATGGGAGAAATGCCCAGAATGTTAAGTCCCCCATGTAGTCCCCTACTGTGTTACCCCTGCTATGTCAGTAGGGAAACCCCTTGCATGGGGACATGCATAAATACTGGAGCTGTGAATAAAGACCTCAGTTGACTATCAGAACTGTGTTTCGTCCGGTTACTGGGGGATTTGGGATATTGCCTTACTTTTCAGCGCTTGACTGTGGGTTACCTTCTATACCAGCGGAGATCGTGGGATTTAATATTGCCGCTCTGCTACAATTGGTGGCAAGCGACGGGATCCAACCTTACAGCCGAAACGCGCCGTTTGGATAAAGTGAAACTACCGAACGAGAAAAGGGAATGGCAATTCGTATACAGCAGAGCACCAAATGAGAAAAGTGAATGGGGACGGATTACGCTGCATTGAAAAGGCAGACACTAAAGGAACTGCTGGAAGCCAGGGGTAAGATAGCCAGCAACAAGCCGAAAGCAGTGCTGATCGCCGAGCTGATGGAGGGAGACAGAGCCCACAGCGTTACACCCCCACCAGCCATGGAGGAAACCCTACACCAAAGAGAGATGAGAACCAGGATGGAGTTTCTGCCGCAGCCAGTACCCATGGAAATATTGACCGTGCTGATGGCGGATGTGCAGGAGTATGTGATGGCACACCGTCCACAGGAGGCACCGTCCTGGGCAGAATCCATTACTGCCTCCGTCTACAGCCAGGTAAAACCCCAAATCCCATACCATGCCTTTAAGATGTTTTGTGAGGAGAAGGATGAGATTGACGGTTATTTACAAGATTTTGAGAGGCTGTGTGATTTACACGACTTGGAGCAGGCAGTATGGGTACCGTTACTAGCAGGCAAACTGTCAGGTCGGGCAGCAGAAGCCTGTACCCAGAGAGGACAGCAAGGATTATACTAAAGTAAAAAGAGCCATACTAGAAAGATATGCCATTACCCCGGAGGCACAAATTCAGAGGATTGCGCAAACCGGAGAAAGATTCTCATGCCGAATGGGCGCACAAGCTGGATTAAGCATCACATGGGTGGATACAAGCCAGCCAAGCCACCACTATGGAAGAGTTACGGCAATTGATGTTATTGGAACAATTTTTTAATGGCCTGTTTCCAGAGGCACAAGAATGGGTGAGAGACCGAAAACCCCTCACCCTAACTGAAGCGGCCCGATTAGCAGACCAGCATTTTGATGCCAGGAGGCATCACGGGCACCTAAATCGGAGTTACCCTCGACCCACTGTGCAACCCAGTGCAGTTACGCCTACAACAACCCCCTTTAGACCAAACCAGGGGAACCAACCTCCACCCTCACGATACAATGGCAGAGAAAATATTCAGTGCCATACCTGCAGGCAGTGGGGACATATGTCTCGGGAGTGCACTCAGAACCGGAGCCGACAAGCATGGAACCAAGTCCGACAGAACACGGCAACCAGGGCCGCCGCACATCATTATCAAGTAGAGCCAGCCGCCCAGGAGATACTGAGTAATCAGGCCGAGGAACCCCTGGGACTACTGCATGAGGTATTGTCGGTCCAAGCTACTGACAACCGACAACATCACCGTCAGCAGGTGACACTAGAAGGGAAAGAAGTGCAGGGGCTCCGAGATTCGGGAGCCACCCTAACTTTGGTAGCGCCCCATTTGGTACCAGGATCAGCACACATGGGCGGGTCCGTGGCAGTACGAGTGGCAGGGGGAGCAGTGTACCGACTACCCACTGCCAAAGTACACTTGAACTGGGGTGCTGGGGAGGGGATGGTAGAAGTGGGCCTGATGCAGAAGTTGCCCGCGGATGTGGTACTAAGGAATGACTTGGGCCAGATGACCTCTGCTTTTATACCTCAGGCTCCACACCAGAAAGCCCATCCAGTGACAACCTGGCAACAGGCTTGCACCACGGTTCCACCAACACACTCTGAGACAATGACCCCCATACGACACATATGACCTGGGATACCCCAATTAAATTTGAGGCGGAGGTGAAGTTAGACCCCACGCTACAGGTATACAGGGACAGGGTAAGCACAGATCATACCGGGTTAGAGGAGGAGCGGTATACATGGGAGAAAGGGCTATTGTATCGCATTGCTGAAAGAGTAGTGGGGGGGGGTCGGTCACAGTAACAACTAAACAGCTAGTAGTTCCCCAAAAGTATAGGCAAGAACTACTTAGGATCGCTCACGATATTCCCTTGTCTGGGCATCTAGGAATGACATGCACCCGATACAGGTTGAGCCATGCCTTTTTCTGGCCAGGGATTTCTAAGATGTGAGGCAGTATTGCAACTCATGTGACATTTGCCAGCGAGTGGGGAAGAGGGGTGACCGCCACAAAGCCAAATTATGCCCTCTCCCCATTATTGAAGAACCTTTTAGTAGGGTGGCCGTAGACATAGTGGGACCCTTGCCCAAGCCTAGTCCCTCGGGTAAGAGAAATATTTTGACCGTAGTGGAGTACGCAACCCGGTACCCCGAGGTCATCGCCCTCTCCAACATTCATGCCGAAACTGTGGCCGAGGCCTTAATGAACATATTCTCCAGGGTGGGGTTTCCCCAAGAGATCATATCTGATAGGGGTACCCAGTTCACCGCCGAGGTCACCCAACAACTGTGGAGGATATGTGGCATTAAGCCGATAGTAAATTCCGCGTATCACCCCCAGTCCAATGGTTTATGCGAAAGGTTTAATGGTACCCTGAAGCAGATGCTCCGTATGTTTGGAGAGGCCCATAAGGACTAGGAGCAATTTCTACTCCATCTGCTCTTCACTTATAGAGAAGTACCACAGGAGTCGACAGGATTTTCCCCTTTTGAATTGCTGTTTGGGAGAAGGGTGCGAGGGCCGTTAGATCTAATTAGAGAGCATTGGAAGGGAGAGAGTAGTTCAGATGGGACCCCCATTGTACCTTACGTGTTGGAGTACGTGTTGGACCGCCTGGAGGCCCTAACCCAGGCCGAGCGCACCAATCTCCAGATGGCCCAACAACGCCAGCGCTGCTGGTACGATAGGGGAGCCAGACACCGCAGCTTTCAAGTGGGACAGAAGGTGTTGATTTTAAAACCTGTCCGCACAGACAAGCTGCAGGCCATCTGGCAAGGCCCATACCAGTTGGTGGAACAGAGATGTGACACCACCTATGTGATTGGCCCCTGCTCAGGGGTAGGGAAGAGATGCATGCTCCACGTGAATATGCTCAAATCCTATAGAGGATAGAGGACGTGGCAGCAATATGCGCCTTAGAGGATCAGGAGAACCTGCCGCTACCTGACCTATTAGAACAGGACGACCAGACAGAGCCCTCCACGGGGGTTCAACTGGGGGAGTGGCTAAGCCCTCAGGTATAAGAGTTGATAGCGGCTAAAGGAGCCACCTTCTCCAATTTGCCTGGGTACACTCCGCTAGCCACTCACCAAGTCTAGACCCCTGGACAGCTACCTATGCGGCAGACCCCATATCGTATCCCTGAAGCAGTCAGGGAGCATATGAGGAAATGTTGCAGCTAGGGGTTATTGAATATTCCGATAGCCCCTGGGCATCGCCGGTATTGCTGGTACCCAAGAAGGATGGCACGACACGTTTTTGTGTCGACTACCGGAGGCTAAATGACAAAACTGTGTATGATGCCTATCCGATGCCCCGGATAGACAAGCTGCTGGATAAGATGGCAAGAGGCCAGTATCTCACTACCATAGATTTATTTAAGGGATACTGGCAAATTCCACTAGCCGAGGATGCCATCCCCAAGTCGGCGTTTGTCACCCAGTTTGGCCTGTACCAATTTCGGGTCATGCCATTCGGGATGAAAAACGCCCCGGCGACCTTTCAGAGGATGGCAGATCGGCTACTGGACGGGTTCCAGGAATATGCATGCGCATACCTGGACGATATCGCTATATAAAACCAGACCTGGGCAGAGCACCTGCAACACATAGGGGCCGTTATTGATCGTATCGGGGAGGCAGGGTTGACGCTGAATCCTAGCAAGTGTCACATAGGGATGGCGAGGTGCAGTACTTGGGCCACCAGGTGGGGAGCGGGCAACAAAAGCCCGAACCAGCCAAAATTGAAGCCGTGGCTAAGTGGCCAATTATAGTGCCCTGGCCAAACCCTTGACTGACTTGACCCGCAAGAATCTTCCTCGACAGGTCGTCTGGGCCCCAGAGTGTGATCAGGCATTTAACCAACTTAAGACAGCTCTAACTAATGCACCAGTACTTGCTGCTCCTGATCCAACTAAACGCTTTCTTGTTCTCACAGACGCTTCAATGTTTGGATTGGGAGCAGTGCTGAGCCAAGTTGGAGCAGATGGCGGAGAACATCCCGTAGCATATCTAAGTCGGAAACTATTACCACGAGAAGTGAGCTATGCCGCCATCGAAAAAGAATGCGTGGCTGTGGTGTGGGCCCTCAAAAAGTTGCAGCCATACTTATATGGACAACCTTTTTCCTTGCTCACAGATCACAACCCGTTGGTGTGGCTGAATAGTGTGGCTGGAGACAATGCCAGGCTGCTGCGCTGGAGTTTGGCGCTGCAGCCTTTTGACTTTACAATCCATTACCGCCCTGGGAAACAAAACGGTAACGCCGACGGGTAATCTAGACAAACTGAACTTGAAAAGTGATCTGTGGGCACTCCCCCGGACATCCCCAAGCCGATCTGTGGGGATCAGACTGTGTATGCCGGCTTGGTTCTGGGGGAGCATTGTGGCAAACTTCGCCACTTGTAGCATGCTGGACTATATATATGAAAAGGTTGTCTGTAATAACCGCTGTACTATATGTATAACCTTGTGTGATAATGTTATGTGTATGGAATTTGTATGCTAGCAGCCGAAAGCCGCTATGATTCATGTGTTTCGTTTCACGAACAGCGACTTTACTGGCTGTTCGTGAACAGAATGAGCTACCCCCTAATAGCCCACACATAGAGGGACATGTGGCGCTCATTAACCGATTGCAACAATGTTGCAATCGGTAATTAGCGACTTTCCTAGGTGGCCGACGTTCGGCTACCGACCACGCGGCGGTCGACCATCTTGGATCCTTTGTCTCACCAGCGGTGTTTGGTCGTTGAGCGCGTGGAACTGAAAATGGCTACTCGACGGTGCGAACACCGCTGGACTTCCAGGCTGTTCGGGAGCTCCGGTCTTTCGTTATTATGGTTTCCCATCGGTGTTCGGTACGTTTAGGTGAACTCGATGGCAAAGTGTATTTCGTGCAGGGTTCGGTTGTTTTAGCTGGGATCTGAGCGGTATTCCCACGAAATGTGCGCTCAGACCCCAGTTATCTACCGAACGTCCATTCGTGTAAATAAACTGAATAGTGTAAAAGTTATGTTTTTAAATGTGAAATGCCGGTTCTGCTGCACAGAGGGATAATCCACTTAACGGTGTATTCCAGTGGGAGTATCCCTCTCGTCCAGCAGTGCCTGATGGGAGAAATGCCCAGAATGTTAAGTCCCCCATGTAGTCCCCTACTGTGTTACCCCTGCTATGTCAGTAGGGAAACCCCTTGCATAAATACTGGAGCTGTGAATAAAGACCTCAGTTGACTCCCAGAACTGTGTTTCGTCCAGTTACTGGGGGATTTGGGATATTGCCTTACTTTTCAGCGCTTGACTGTGGGTTACCTTCTATACCAGTGGAGATCGTGGGATTTAATATTGCCGCTCCGCTACACAGGTTGTACCCAAGCGCAAAATCAGCCCAGTGATCTAAAAACTCAAAACCCTCTTTCCTGCACCAAGACTTTAGCCACTGACCTCTCTAATCTCCCGCTGCCTTTCTGCTGTAGCGCGCGGCACAGGTAATATTTCTGAAAAAATTTACTTGGAGCTCCTTTTCTTTAGCTTACTTCCTAGTTCCCTGAACTCATTCTTTAGGACCTGCCATGTTCCTCTGACTTTGTCATTGGTACCAATATGGACCATGACAGCTGGGTCATCTCCAGCCCCTCCCAATAATCCCTCCACTCTGTCGGCAACATGCCGGACCCGAGCACCCGGGAGACAGCAAACTGTCCGGTTGAGTCGATCAGAGTGGCAGATTACCCTATCTACTCTCTTAATAATAGAGTCCCCTACCACCACAACCTGTCTAGACTTCCTTACCCTCTCAACCCCACCCATACTAGAGGGGCTGTTCCCACGGCTGTTAGCAGGAACAGCTTCCTGCAGTACAGCTACTCCTGAGCTGATGCTCCCAACATCTTCACTCAAACGGGCAAATCTGTTAGGCTGCATGAGATCAGGACTAGCTAAACCTTTTCTCTTCCCTCCCCCCCTGCTTCCTCTCCCCACTGTCACCCAGCTACGTGCCTGTTCCCCATCTGTCTTATCTCCTCCCTCTCCACTACCTGTCCCCACTAAACTCTGCTCAGTGAGCAGCAGACTCCTCTCAAGATTGTCAATCTCCCTCAGTGTTACAATTTGCCTCTCCAGATCTCTAATCTGAGCTTCCAGAAATGCCACTCGCTCACACCCACCACAGAGGTATGGACCCTGGACAGAATCATCCAGGCATGCATACATGCGGCATGATGTGCACTGAGTTAAACTCGCAATCTTGCTAGCACTCATCCCCAGTTACAAAAAACACAAGTGAGCAAAAACAATATTTACCCTCTTGGTTTAAACTCCCTTGTAGTTTCAACTCCTGTTGTTTTAACTCCTACTTAAAAGAGACTACTTGAAATAGCCTACTTTCAAGCAAACTCCAGTGAG